GTATTTGCAATAACCGCAATTAATCTGAGCATCCATCTCTGTAAGCTTATTGTGTTTTTCACGGCTTTACAGGGGTGAGCCAAAGCTATGGGGCTTTTAGGTTCCTAAGCAGCGAGGTGAGACACAAGCCTAGAGGAAAGAGCACAGAGGGGCCAAGAAAGCTGCTTCAGTGTTCCCTGGCTTCTCCATCAATAAGCACCTCCATACCCTACATTCCTGGGGTATGCCCCACTAGGTTCCAGTGAGCTGAATTTCTGGGTCCCCAGGAGGTCCAGAGGCAGATTCTGCATTCCCAGTGCTGGCAAGCAAGCATTCAGCCCAAATGTCACTCAGCACTGTCACCACGCCCTCCCTTCACATTCTAGAAGACTATTATTAGATCTCCCTGAAATGCACAGAATTTTTAAATCCCTGACTGTTATCTCTAATAGGTATATTCGAACTTTCTCTCTCTTAAAGCTTGGCTGCCTTTCCCATCAGAGCAAACATCTGAGGGGACAAGAAAGCAGAAAGGAAAAGAGGAAACTCACAGTCAGCGAGGTCCTACAGGATGATCTCACTAGTCAACCCCATGAGGCTTTGAGCCCCACTTCCAAGAAGAAAACATGCTCGGAGGTCTCTCCTTCTTCCACCCTCACCCCCATCCCCATGAGATTGCCAGTATTCTTACGACTGATTTCTGCAGTTCACAGTAAATCAACTGAAAGATGTACTCAGACTGTCAGGGTTTATTATCAATACAGCTCCTTATGTTGATTAAAATGCCCATGGATTTTATGCCAAAATGAGAATGTTTTAACTTTGAATTATTATCTTCCAGTGACCATCCAAACAAATGTAGAATATGTAAGGCTCCATTGTGTTTTGTTTAAAACACATCTTGTGCTTAGAAATTTTGGCTGCTTTTGCACATTACTGTTCAGCCAGAGAATGCAAAGGCAAAAGCAGCTCTTATTTTGATGAGCTGCAGTCTTTAATATCCTAAGTTCATCCCCACCAGTCATCACTTATTGAGGGTCATATACATGTAAATATATATGGGTGTGTCCATGGTGCTTTAAGAATATTAATCCATTCATTCATTCAATCAGCAAGCATTTATTGAGCACCTAGTATCACACATCTAATTAGGCATAAGAGATAAAAAGTGATGAGAAAGTACAAGGTCACAACCTTGGGACAAGTTGTGGGGAAAGCAGACAATCAAACCAGTAATGAGTATGCGCTGTGGTAAATGCTATAATGAGGAAAAGAGGTTATTAAAAATAATATCTGGGGCAGTGACTATGTGTCCAATGTTTACAGCCACTGCCTCCAATTCTCACAACATCCTGCAAAGGTAGGTATCTTCCCACTTTCCAGTGTACCAGACTGTCCCATGCTAAACACTGCCTCTCCATCTGTGTCAGCATCCGCATCATCATTTGCATCTCAAATCCCCATTCTGGTCTCAATATTGTACCTGCAGGCTTGCATTAGCTTATTCAGGCATCGATCAAATTTTTGCCCGGAATTACAAAGCACATTGTACACCTTGGGGAGAAAAGAGACCAGAACACACCCTAAAGGAACTTTCAAGTCGGCTACATAGAGTAATACAAGAACATTAATAACACAAAGCAAAGATGGAGCATGGACCAGGTCTGCGGTCACAATCAATGGCATGCTTCAGACAAGCCATTTGGCTTCTGAAAGGGAGAAATCATGTGGAGAGATTTATTTAGGAGGTAGGACCAAGGTCTTAAGATCACATAAGGGCAGAGAGTGGAAGAGAAACAAGGCCAGTCCTTAGCAAGGCAGTATTCAGAGAGGTGCCCGGAAGGCTCACAGATTAGGCTGAACCAAAGTCAGGGGTGAAACTGGAGCCCGATGGTGGGACAAGCCAGACTTCAGCTGCCCCAAGTGCCAGCTGATAAGAGATGCTAAGGCACCTGGGGCATTAAAATGACCCAGTGTAACAGCACATGCAGAAATCCACATTTGTAAGAACTCCTCCCAGAAACCACTACACATGATGGAAGCGTTCTTCATTCCACCTCCTGGGATAGAGGCTGAGACCCAAAGGACCTCCTGGAGTCAACAGAGGTCACCAAACAATCCTCTAATGATGAAGTCCCTTTCACTGCAGGCGCTCGTCTCCACTCGACTTCAAGGCCAGAGCTGTATTATTCAGAATCAGAGTGGAGAGGCTGAGGGCCGTCAGCAATGGGTCTTCCCCATGGCCCTTTTCCCACAGGCCCTTCCCCAAATTGGGAAACAGACACTTAAAAGAATATCGGGTTGCAAACCAAGTTATTAGCGTGCCTGGAATACTCACGTCTCAACCAAGTTCTGCGGATGATATCTTTGTTTGTTTAACTCCTGACTGCTGATAAAAATACTTTTACATGTCTTAGATTACCTGATACTCACAACAGTCATGAAATAAGCACTAGGCCTCTAATTTTACAGATGAAGATCCTGAGGGTCAGGGAGGATAAGTGACCTATTCGAAGTTATAAAGCTGCTGAGCTGTACAGCCGATTTTGTATCAGACTATCTGTCCAGTGGTCTGTCTGCTCTGTCACTACTGCAAATGATCATAATAGTTTATAAAGTTTTTTAGAGCTGACAAAGAGTTTTTATGGTAGTCCTGGCAGTATATACACTAATATACACAAACAGAGACACATGCACTCTCGCCCTTGTACATACAAACTCTGTTTTCATAAAAGTAAAGTGACAATAGTAATAACCATAATACTATATTCTACTTGTTAAAAAACCCATTTTCCTCCTCTAGCTATGGACTTTTCTCAGCTCATTTATAAGTTGAGTAGCTATTATTTAGATTACTGCTAAAGATACATGGGTGAAGTCTTAAATCCTAGATGTGGGCCTATTTGTAACTCACTCTTAGATCAACCTTGCTTTTGTGTTAATTATCTGCCCATTTCCATTTTCCACCACTAAGCTCTTGCCTCTACTCCCAATCTCCTCGCAGTGACACATGAAGCGGCATCTTTCCCAAATGTCCATCTTATGCCTGCATTTGTTTTCAGGAAGTGGCAATTTCCCAGCAGACATAAAATTCACAGGACTTGAAAAAAAACTTCAAAAAAAAAAAACGATTTACCACATTTTTAGACAAAAACAAAAGACCTATTAGACAGATGGGCACGTATACTTTTTTTTTCAAAATCCCCAACCCCCAGTTTTTCAGAGCGCTTCTTTGAAATTCACAGGTCACACAAATTAAAATTTTCAATAAACAATTTGTCAGTTAGTCTTGCACAGTGGGGAGAAAATTATACACAGAAATGTAGAATGAGCCAGAATCAAAGCCAACTGCTAGTGACAAACGAGCAAACCACTTCCCATAGCAGAGGCAGAGGACCTGTCATCACACCCACGGAATAAAGGATCACAAACTCCCCCACCAGCCACAGGGAGTCCTCATTTTTTCGTTTTTCCTTCTCATCACACATAATTCTATCAAAAGATCTTAATGAAAATAAGGTCAGCATATTTAATCTATAAAGCAGTCAACTCACCTACTTTTAACCATCTTTCTTTATGAGAGAATTTATATAATCAGGCCACACTACACAAACAGAATTTAAATATAGTTTTTCACCTTTCTCCCCTGCTCCCAAAGGAAAACTCCATGTACCACTCATCTTGCTAAAAGCCACAGGAATAAAGTGACTTAATTCTAGTTAAACCAAGTATTTCAACCACATACTCTTAAACCTTAACCTTAAACATATCCACAAAATGTGATTTTTGAGAGCTTTCCATCTTATTCATTCAGTAAATCTCCAGTATACAATAAAATTCCCCTAAGCACAAGCTCCCAGTGATGTTCTTAGTTCATACTAAAGGTATACAGAAATATTTTATACAATAACTTTAAAAACATTGCTTTTAGTCTGAACTATTACTTGAAAAATATTTTAAACTCAACTTCAGTTCTCATAAAGTAATCTAGGGTGTGGGTGTTTTTGAATTTCCTTTTCATGGGGAAAAAGGAAGCACTGAATCAGACAACAGATGTATATGGAAAAACACATATTTTGATACACATATTAAATAAAGACATACTTTTTTGTTTGTTTAAAGATTCTTCTGTCTACTTGACTCACAATACAAATAAACCACAGGCAAATTCCTTATGCAGAATTTAAATTAAGATGTGAAACCTGGGTTTTCTGCTGAAGTCAGACCAGAGCACAACCCACCTGGTCAAATCCCCAGTCAAGAAGAGACCCATCCAGCCCCTCCATGTCCCCAAAGAAACCGTTCTTTGTTCACCTGGAACTGAAAGGCTCCACTTTCAGAATCACAGCTCCTGCAGCAATGGAAGTATGCTCTGAATCCAGATAGCCATATTAGACTCGCCATCAGGGATTTGTTAAAAATTTAACATTGTGAATGAAAGCAAAGCAACCACTGACACCAACTGGGTAATTAAACTGCTGGTTCAAGGAAGTTTGAAAATCTAAACCCAACATCAACATCTGGCAAGTCTTCATGTGTGACCTACCAATACTTGTGCATGCATGTTACTCAGAAAATTCATAAAGAGGGAAAGTATTAAGGTTTTAAAAGCCTATTAATTGGTTTGTTCTCTCTATCTGAATCACACATAAACAGCTAACTCCAGTTCCAACTACATACCGGCGTTTGCCTCATTGTCTCAGAAGGGCAAAAGCTGACAAGAGTTATTGAAGACAATTAAATCTGTTCTTGTCCAGGGGTCTCAATCAATACACTGCATCATAATCTAACACTGAAATTGATCTCCGCCCCCCAACCCCTTGGACGAGGTAGTTTATTTCTGGTCCCTAGTCCTTGCTGGGTTAGTAACTCTTTTCTCTATAATTCGCACATCTCCTAGAAGGAAGAGGGAGACATCTGAATTCAAACTGCATTTGTTTACCGCCCACTACCCTCAATATTATGCATTCCCACCACCCAGAAGCTTGAGCTTTCAGCACCCCACCCCACCTGCCCCGCACCTGCCAAGTTCCTCGCCGGTGTCGTAGTAATCATCCACGTTTTCCTGCCTGAACACGGTCATGATAAACTGTCACGCGTCACCAAAGCCCAGCGCACTTCAGCTCCGCTTCCCAAACCATCACCACCACTCCTGCGCCTCCGTGGGCCCCTCATGCATCAGTCAGCAGTCCTTTAAAAAAGAAGGCAATATAATAATAAAATGACAACCCCAAAGGAAGTGCCCTTCCCCTGGACTAAGCCTAGCTCGCTGAAGACCACCTCTCCGGAGCTGCCCCACCCCGCCGGCTGCAGAGGAGCACTCTTTGTTAAACCCCAGCATCGGGATGCCCCCCAGCCCAGTGTCGCTTGCGCACTCGTGTGGCCGGGCACCGCCGCACCCCGAGCTCCGGGTCTCCGAAAGCAAGGCGCGGAGCACCGATCAGAACCCGCTCCGGAAGTCGCTGGCCTCCCCGCCTCCTCTTTCTATGCACACACGCCCACCCAGCTCCCCACCTCCAGGGGCGCCGCAGAAGAATGAAGCCCTCGCCCGGGCGGAAAGCGCCTGGCTGGAAGCATCCGTCTCCTGCCAGCAGCAGCCGCGCAGCCCCCACGCCACCTCTCGGCGCCCGCAGCTCCCCGGCCGCCACGGCCACCTTCTCTCCTCCCTCGAGCCAAGCTGTCCCCAGAGGCACATTCCTGGCGACTCCCGCTCCGTTACCCAGCCGACCCGGCGTGCGGCCGCCCGGGGGAGCAAGGGAGGGAAGGGAGCGGCCGAGGGAGGTGCGGCCGCCGGCTCCCAGTCTCCGCGCCCCGAACACAAAGCGCCCGGCCCGCGCCACCTGTTCCCATCCGGCCCGCGGGGCTGGGGGCACCTCCCGGTGGCGATCCCACTTCTCCCCTCAGTCAAGTTTACCCTGCCTCGGCCTTCTCCGTTGTCTTGGGCGCTGCCTGGGCAAACCTCGTCGTGCCGCGGCCACGAAAGCCAAAGCAGGCGGCGGGGCTCGGGAGGAGCAGAGAGTCGCGCGCGGCCACTCACCCGGGCGCCCGGGAGCTGCCCGGGTCCTGCCCGGGCGCTGTCGGAGGCTGACGGTAGGCGCCAGCGCCCGAGACGAGCTGGGCGGCGGCGGGAGTGCAAGGAGGCTGAGAGTGGGGCGCGGATTCCGCGCGTCCTCCCGGCGTCGGCTCGGCCTGGCTCTCCCGCTCCGGCTCCGGAGCAGCCCCGCGGCTCCTCGCCGCCTTCCGGGCGGAGGGCGGCCGACAGGCGGCCAATAGGGACCCCGCGGGCGGGCTGGCGACACGGCCCACCCACCTCCGAGCTGTCCGGTCGGGCCGGCGCTGCAGCTGCTGCGCTGCGCTGGCTGCTCCTCCCCGCTCGGCTCTTGGGGCTCGCTGGCGCGCTCTACCGCGCACACCCCCACACCCACCCACTCACCCTACACCCGCGCGGAGAGCGGTCGCGCGCAACGTGGGTGCCCCACCTGTGACACGCGGCTACGCTGCCCTCTTCCGCTGGGATCCAGAGGAATGCGATTCCTTCCTCCTGCAAAGGTGTTTTGAGCCCTTGGCGTGGGCCAGGCACGGTGCTTTGCACCGGAAAATCACAACAGACCATAATAAGTTTTAAAAAATCTCTGCCCTTCTGAAACTTAGATTCTGGCAGAGAAACTAGACAATAAGTATGTAAACAAATCAATGAGATCATTTTAGAAGGGGTGGGTTCTGTGGAGACAATACTGCAGGATAACACAATAAAGAATGACAGGACAGGAGTAGACCTCATTAGGAGTTTCTCTACGGGACAGGTGTTTCGAGCTAAGATCTGGACGGTGAAAAGATATGAAACCAAATAATAAAGGTTTGGAGTATCAGAGGCCCAATGTAACAACAGAAACGAAGGGCTTAAGTGTGCAGTCCAATACGAATTGGTTGTTGATACGTTGAAATGTGGTTAGCCCAGAATTAGGTGTGGAAGAAGTGTGAAATATACATGGGTCTTCAAGACTTGGTATAGAAATAAGGATGAAAAACATCTCTTGAATATTTTTTATGTTAAATGCATGTTCAAATAATAGTATTTTGTACATATTGGGTTAAATAAAATATAATATTAAAATTAATAATTTTTTAATTATTAAAAATCACTTTTTACTTTTCAAAATGCAGATATTATAAAATATGAGTACCTATGTGGCTTGCAGTTACATTTCTATGGACTGTGCTGGTCTTCTTAGAGCTCCCATACCTACTGGAGATCCTTATCCATTCTCTCTGCTTCTTACCCTAGGCCCCCACCAAGCCCTGAGGTGTGAGAAACAGAGAGGATGTTTCCCTATAAGGACTACTGTACCTGCAAGCTCAGTCATGTCTGACTCCTTGTGACCCCATGGACTGTAGCCCACCAGGCTCCTCTGTCCATGGGATTTCCCAGGCAAGAATACTGGAGTGGGTTGCAATTTCCTTCTCCAGGGGATCTTCCAGATGCAGGGATCGAGTCTTCTGAGTCTCCTGCATTGGCAGGCGAATTACTTTACCATTGATCCACCTGGGAAGTCCACAGAGACTGCTGGGAATCCTTACACAGAGAAAAGCTCCTATTGGAAAAATCTACCTTACTGCTGAGAGTTACTAAAACTGGTATGTGAACACACTGAGAATTCATCTCCTTCTCATTGTTCAAATTTCCAGATTTTCCAAAATGAGATGGTTTAAACTCTCTTTGCTGTCTCTTCAGTCGGGTCCGACTCTGTGTGACCCTATGGACTGTAGCCTGCCAGCTCTCCATGGGATTCTCCAGGCACAAAAACTAGTGTGGGTTGCCATTTCCTTCTCCAAAACTCTCTTTAGTTCAACAGAAATTCTTGGGGTAAAAAAGAATACTCCTCAGATCTTATGTGAGACCCTCCTCTTAAAGAAGGGTTCATACAGTGACCCATAGAGAGAGCACACGTTCATTATGATGGAATCAAGGGAAGATTCCAAATTGGGAGGTGTTATCAACCTAAGTGATGGGTTTCAGAATTAACACAAAAGGATCTTGAGAAATACAGGCAAAAATAACAACAACAACCAAAAAAAAGTGATTCATTTTGGGAAAATGCAATTGAATACATCTGTTGGAGGGAGGGATTAAAAACACAGACCTGAGTGCTTGTGGATGACTGCTTTCGGGGTAATATGTTCCTGCAAAATAAATAAGTGTGTTTTCCCAGGCAGTGAGGAGAACTGGCTCTGTTTGGTGACCAGCATGTCTTCCCTACCCTATTGGACATGCTGATCACAGTGGATTTTCTAGAGTATTAAAAAAAAGCACAGGCTTGGGAGTCACACAGTTGGATCTAATATTAGTGGAACCATTTAACCATAGCTGTGAATGACCCTTATGTGAATGACCTTAGCTGTGTCGCTTACCTCTTAGTTTCATGTCTGCACTAATTTAGGCAAGCATTTTAGACAGGGAAATATGCCCAAAATTCAACAAAGAAGCTGAGTCTAATTCTCCTCCAAGAATATGTGTTAGCTGTGGTGGCTTGAGTCTAAGAAAATGTAGTAGAAGTTGACACCGTGTAATAATAAACATCCTTCTCGGAGAAGGCAACGGCAACCCAGTCCAGTACTCTTGCCTGGAAAAGCCCATGGATGGAGGAGCCTGGGGGCTGCAGTCCATGAGGTCGCACAGGGTTGGACACGACTGAGCGACTTCACTTTCACTTTCCACTTTCATGCATTGGAGAAGGAAATGGCAACCCACTCCAGCGTTCTTGCCTGGAGAATCCCAGGGACAGGGGGAGCCTGGCGGGCTGCCGTCTATGGGGTCGCACAGAGTCGGACACGACTGAAGCGACTTAGCAGCAGCAGCAGCAACATCCTTCTAAGTCTGGGTCATACGGTTTTAGAGTTTCTGCCTAATACCCTCTTATTCTCTCTCTCGCTCTCTTTCTCTCTCTTACTCTTGTTCTTGCCACACACTCCGGAAGCCTTCAGCTGCCATGGTTACACTGGGGCTGCCATGTGGAGGGACCACGTGGAGAGACCACAGGAAGAGAGAAACCCGAAGAAGCCAGCTGTTCCAGCCCCACCCCCACTCTCAGCTATTTGTGCCTTCGCAGCCCCAATTCTGGCAGCAGAATAAAGGCCTGTTACCGTTCTAAGTCATTACTTTGGGGTGGTTTATTATAAAGCAATAGATAATTGATATAAGAAAACTTAGCTCTTAACTTGTGCCAAATGATAATCAGATTAAATTATTCTCTTGCTTAATCTACAAACAACTCTAAATTAATTGTTTTTTCCACTTTATATTTAACCTTCTTAGTCTCACTTTCATCACCTGCAAAATGGGAACATAAATAGACCCTTATGTTTTCCTCAGAGTTGCTGGAAGATTCTAAAGAGATGATGCATGAAACAAGGCTTTGTACATTATAAAATACATCAGAATGTTGTTATTATATTTTCTATTATATTCCATGCAAGAGAAGCTCTTAGGGACATCTCTTTCATGGAAGATGACAATACTACAATCCTGAAATTATGAGATTCAATCTGGAAAGGACTTCCATGAAGAGAACTTAATTATGATATGGACTGTGACTTATGATAATCATGATGATGATATTTAAAACAGACTCAAGTATAGAATTTAGGACATTATTTTACATCTGCATTAGTCAGGGTAAAATAAGTGGTGCTAAAGACTCCACAGATCTTAGAGGTTTGACGCATTTAAAGGTTTCTTTCTTGCACTCATAACAGATACTTGCAGGAATTAGAGAAAGGGTTCCCCTCCACACAGTCATTAGAGGATCCAGGCTCCTGTCCTCTAAGAGACCCATGGTTCCTTGGTACACTGAGTTTCTCAGTTGGTGCTTTTCATCTATTGGCTGATGAGAGAAGAGAGAATTCAGAAAGGACTGCACTGAAGTTTTTTTAGGGGGTCAGGTTTGAATTCCGAGGTTTAACCGTTTCTTGGAAAAGATGTTCTAATAGCAGAGAGAGTGGAATACACTGGCTCAGTTCAACTTTGGGTTACTTTTTGTGACATGCCTTTGGTTTTATCAAGGGCTAATATTTTTAAATGGCTGC